TAAAATTAAATTAGATAAATAAACTTGAATACCTTTTAGAGAAAAATCCATACTCTTAGTACAAGTTTTCATACAGTAAAATAATGAGTTTACATATTGGACAAAATAACATTTAAACATTTTTTTAAACTATTTTCATTTTCATTGCAAATTAATATCAACACACACTCTCACAAACTGCTGCCACTTTTTCCTTCAACGACACATGCAACACCCAACAGGGAACTTCCTGCCACAGCTTCATTTTTTGGGATACATTACTCCATTCATGTATTTGGGGAGGCCCGTTTTTTCTGCAATCCACCTGTTGTAGTTGGTGACCTGCGTGTAAACACCTGGTTTGTTTTTCTGGGCACAGCGATCACCCCAGCTCACCACCCCGAACAGAAACATGCGGCCTGCCACATCACACACCAACGGACCACCGGAGTCCCCCTGTGAGGAGAGGACAAGACAGGTAAGTATGAATCAAGTCAAAGGTTATTCATATAGGATATTTAAAATAACCATAGTTTACCAAAGTGCTGAACAGGCTTAAAACAAAAGAGGATATGAGACTTCAGCAAACATTTGTAGGTTTGCACTCTGGGCTCTTTGAACATTCTTTACATATTCATTAAAGGTTTTTTTTCACTCACCTCGCAGGCGTCAGTGCTCCAGTCAGGGCTCGCAGCGCAGATCATATTCTCGGTGATGACATCTCCATAGTGCGATTCACTTTTACAATCAGTCTGTGAGAGCAGTTTCACCTCAGTCTGTTTCAGTATCTTTGAGTAATGCCATGCACCTGCAGCAAAGTGCGAGATGTAAGAAACATTGAAACAGCAGAGAGACCAGTCATGAGTCTGAAGAAGAGAGGTAATTTACTGAAGCTCTCTTTTCCAAATCCTGCGACGCTGCATTGAAATCCTGCAGGAAGCTGAGTGTGAGATGGAGGAACACAGACTGTCCGCACAGGCGCTGACCTCACTGCACATCCTCCGCTTCTGCTTTTGATCTTCAGCAGTGCTGGGAAATAAAGTAAAGCACATCTTTGAGCTTCCTGCACACAGAGAACCCACACTGCTCTTTCTTTTTCACACCCTCAATGATGTCTGTGCTCACCGATGTCATGGTCGAAGCTGGACACGTTGTATTTGTGGTGGATGATGAGTTTTTCCACAGTGAAGCTCTGCTCCCTGTCAGGATCTGTGTCATTAGTGGCAGACTTCCCCAGGAAAACAGACAGATCCTTTAGTTTGATCCCCTTGCTGAACAATGACCTAACACAAACACATTACATAACCATGTGAGTCACATTGCCGTTACAGTGGAGGAAATAATAGTGTGCTGCATTTTCTGTGCGTGTGTTTTTCTCACCAATCATTGAAGCAGTGAGCAGCTGTGAGAACCCAGCAAGGTGCAATAAGGGAGCCGCCACAGAGGAACCTTTGGTTCTCAAAAAAGATAGCAGCCATCCATGGGTTCGACTCTATGGGTGTGAAGGAACCACCCACAATCTTGTACATCTTCTGCTCAGACCTCTCACCACAAGTCATCTCTGCGGGGGAGAAGGGACGAGTCAGTGAAGGCTGACAATCACAATATGCCACAGAGAAAAGGATAAAAATGTGTTCAGACTACCTGTATCAACAGCTGGTGGAGGTTTTATTGTTGGCTTAGAACCTGTGCATGGGTAGAAAATAAATATTATTACACAAATTCAAATCAAACATGTAATATTTCAATGATTTCTTATTCCCAGTTTCCATCTTACATCTGGGAATGTGGCAGTATTCTCTCACTATTCTCTTTCTTCTTCGGACATGGCACCACGGCATCAAGCTCTTGTCAGGATTCCTGGTATTTAAGATAAGATAAGATAAGATAAGCAATAAAATAGAAACAAATTTTATAAAATATAAATCCAGAGAATATGTAGATAATATACATCCTTCACTCCAGATGGAATATTATTTGTGGAGGACGAAC